TAATTTAGGAGCAATCATTTAGAAACACAAAAGCAACAGTTGTTTCCCACAACCAATCAAATGGCTAGCTTCCTTTCCTTGGGGAATAAAATGTAAAATTTTATTGGCTGCTTTGAGCAACAGCTCCGCTTTTGCCCATGTCTTAATACGCCAGCTATAGCACTGAAAAATTGAGCTGAGCCCAATAAAATCTCTTTAAACTAGTTATTTATTTATACACCATCTCAGTATCAATCTGGCCTACCTTCAAACAGGGATATGTATTAGACTAGTTTACATGCTGATGGCATTTTTCTTCAAAATAAATAATTTTAGGTCAATCATCTTCTCAATGTATGCAATCTTACCTTGTTTTTGCACTATCAACTCTTTTTTTTGCCGTCTATGCAACATAGTAAAGATACATCATGAAAATATATCAGTTAGAAAGCCAAAAATGAGAATCAAAAGATTGGGGGGAAAAGGGGGCTAATTTCTGCAAAATCAAAAATCAATGGGAAGCTCACAGCAAGCTCCCCTTGGGAACGAAACGCAAAGGCTTTTGGGTAGTTTATGAGTGGATGTGTGTGTGTGTGAGTGGCGCTGACTGAGTCTGCTGTAGAGATCGATGATTTTCCCTGTAACCCTTGCATTGCCAGGTCAGAGCAAAAAATCCATTGCTGTTTTTGTATTTAAGAGAAGGATAAGAAGCATCTACCTTCATTATTAATAGACAAGATAGACATAAGTATAATTAAAGGGTAATTTGCCAAAGCCTTGCCAGTACTGTGTTCGCTGTGGACTGCCAATCAGCTTTAGAGGAATTAAAAAAAAAAAAAAAAAAGCAAAGAATTAAGGTTATTGGAGGTTTGCCACAAATGCAGGTTTGTTGTAAGGCCAATCCTTTAGCAAACTATCACAAAATTTAACTACTGTGTTATTTGCATCTATACACCCCTATCAATGTCTGTTAAAGTATACCTATGTGGAAAGCTTAGCATAATTAAAACCCCATGCTTCATCATGTAATGTGGACAAACAAGCATGGCTCAAAGTACTGCCGCACAGGGGTATGATAAAAAACCATCAATCAATTATTCGCTGCGCATTACAATGATCTAACCGCACTTAAGATAGCTGTCTATCTAAATAGTTTTTTTTTTACAAATTTAATTTATTTTATTAAAATACATTTCTATGGCGTCTAAACACTATTTCATGGGTCTTCAGTGATCTTTCAAGCTGCTACATTATATTTAAAAGAATGTATGTTTTACAACTTTTTTTAAATTGTAATTTTTTTTTGTTTAATAAATTTAAATAACCAGTTAAAAGAAAAAAAATTTAAAGAACAAATCTGTGTTATAAATTAATTTTCTATTTATATATACGTGTTGCTTACCACTACAGGAAGATTAAATCGTCATTCGTACCATCTACTAGCATTCATATGTTTTACATTGCTGTAGTGAGTAAAGTTCAGCTGGAGATTTGGCACTGACTCCTTTGCCTTCATCCTCATAAATATTAATTAGTTGGAAACTGTGAATGCGAAGTGGATGTGCGAATAAATTCTTACAAAAAAAAATGGCAGACACATTATTTTTAAATAATTTTCAGCATGCTGATTACTCTTTTTGTTGGGGCAATATTTTACATCTACCATTACTGTGTTCATTTTCTGAGCTGCTTCATCGACCAGTGTGTCAGAGTCACTCCTCTTGCAAGGGGGCTGCAGCAATTCACACTTTAATGCACTGACAATAAAAAGGTTAAAAACCACTGTGGGCTTTTGTTCGTGTGCAAGCTTTGTAGACATAAATGGCAGGAAAGCACCACCTGGCCCACCCAGATCCTTTTTTTTTAGTTTTTTAATTTGACAGAAAATTATTTTGGTTACATCATAATCTTTTTATCAACTTATTTTTTTTGTTTGGGCATTACCATCTGAGATGTGGGGGTTCAATGTTTTGTGACCTGTACTCTATCCTTTCTTAAATCTCTGCATAACAGTTTTATCTAACAGATATAAATCTGAAATCACTATTATTTTTAAAAAGAAAAATACATTTCTAATAAAGACTATACTGTTTTATATAATTAAATATATCAACACTAGCTTTATAATATAATAGTGTTAACAAATTATTAAATATAGGGCCCTATTTTTTTTAGGTCTTGCTAAGTGTAGCATTTACAATTTGAACCCTCTAATTTGTAATGTACATTGTTGTGTAATATGTTGGCACTTTATAGGATAATATTAGTAAAAATGTACATTTATGCTTTTTGTGTTGCTTTATTTTTGATTTTTATTTCATAAACTTCTAGTGAACTTACTAAAATGTTCCAAGTTTGTAAAAGCAGGTGGTTCATGAGATACATATGAGGATGATCACACTAGTGAATTTATAATCCCATCAATTACAAACCCAAAGGGAAAAATAAGCAAAAAAATTAAAATTTTGCTTTGTGATTTGATGTTTTCAAAAAACATAGTCTTTGTAACATTGCATCCCTCAGGTAAATCATCCCATTAAGTGAAACGGATGTGCTGTTTGACTGTCAATTTTCTGTCAATAATGTATGCCTATGTAACTCTTGCATATCATTATTTCTTTGGTCAATGTTTACTGCTGAAATCGCCGTTTTCTAGATAAAAAATAGCAATAAGAATCATTGATGCCCTGTGACACTATAGATATAAAGGTATACAATAATTTTTTTCTCTAAAGTAATTTAAACATTTCTCAAGTCTATACAAGGCACCTAAAGTAAAACAACAAAAAAAAAAACCACAATGTTCTGACCACAATCATGTAATTATCCAATTCCCATTTTAGCCAAAATCTTCGGCCTGCAACTAAGATGTTTGCAAATGGATTCACGCCCACATGGCGTATAGGCATATCCAACTCTAATTTTACAGAAATATCCACTGTTATAAATACTTTTCTATCCATCAGATGATGATAGTTTGTACTTTTTAAATAATGTAAAGCAAATATTCGAGTGTAAGGGTACTATCTCAGCATGAGTTCATCATAACTACTGAAGTCATCTTCAGGTAGTATTTAAAACATAGGATTTAATTTTAATAGGTAAATAAATAGAACCAAATATTTAAAAGTTTGGGATTAATTTACTTAAGGGGCCCACCATAGGAATAAAGGCCTACATACAATATTTGTCTAAAAATATCTGTGACAAACATTTAGTGCCTAATTAAGTTAAAGTTACTGAACTACTCTCTTAAACTTGATAATAATATAGTATGAAATTAAAAAAAAACTCTCAGTATAGATATAAACTTACTGCTTATGTTGTTTGCATCAATACTGATAAATTGTATCAAAGTAAAAAATAAATAAGAGGTTGAAATAGCAAATTAGCATTAACTGCCAGTGCATTGTCCTTCTTGCCGCCATTTTGCACGTGCAGGTTTATGAAGCGCTGCTGTTTGGTCAAACGACAGAGACATTTACCTTTCACCACAATTAATTTTCAACGACATACTCACATAGGTATCCATGTTCATTAGGGTTTTTGACAAACTATAGAACCACAGGCCATTGAGATAAAACAGCGATATAGATCACAAATAAATTAGGTATTTTCTGGATTTTTATTTTCCCAAACCGAAAATCACAAATTTGTAAAAATGTCACTTTATTTTAAGAACCTTTTTCACTGCATACTGAAGGAATAACTTAAAAATTGCAATTAAATGTTCAATTGAATAAAAGTAGTAATCTTATAAAAGGTATTATAACCAATGCGGTTCGGGAGCACAAGATGGCTGACTGACTAGGCCAAATGCTCCTCACCAGTCGTCATCGACTTTGATGGTAAATTAAGCAAATATTGGATCTCAATTAATTTGATTTTTCTTTGTTGGCTGGAAATTAGCATGCATCCTCCAACACACAAACTAGAAAGCACAGAGTTGACTCATTGCTTTCCCTTAGGGTGTATGGTATATAGGCTAAAAATGATGACAGAAAAAATTATATATTATACATATTAATAAACCTTTTTTCTTTACCTAACCAATCAGTTATGCAATTTAAAATTGTCTGCACAAAATAATGATGATACTGTACGACGTAAAGTCAATGATAAATATTGGGTAGTTGTAGGTGTCATGATCTCAAAAATTAAGGTTCCTATAGGTGTCTGTAATGAATATATTTTCTAACTGAGAAGAAAGGAAGAAATAGATATATGTGTAGGTGAGATGTTTCATAGTGAGAAATATACCTGTATAGGCGATTATATTAACAGAAGAGAAAATTATAAAATCGAAGTGAGAAAATGAAAATAAAAAAAAAGATAGATACATAGATAGACAGACAGACAGACAGACAATTGAAATCTAGCTAAGTAGTAGAAAATAACTCTGCAGTTTATCTCTTTTTGACAGACCAGGGATAACGCAAGGAATTTCACACAAGTCATTGTCACTAGATCAGAGTGTATAGGTATACAATTATACAATTAGACACACTAAAATGCATTTAATTTGCATGGTAAAAGTGCTCAGGCCCTATGAGCCACTTGTAGGCCATCTGCTGTGTCACACTAATGTCAATCCATTCACAAGGGCCCACCTGGGGGTAGCTTTGGGAGTTTAAAATATGTTCTTTTCCAGTTTCGAAGGAATACGCTTTTCATGACACAACACTTTTAATTGATGTGTTTGCTTGTGCACAAGATCAAAAAAATACAAAATATATATTCTGACAGCCCTCTGGGCCTACAAAGTCATTGCACATTTTTTGCAATGTTTTTTGAAGGTGTATGATTTGTTTTTAAACCATTATTGGTGTTGATTATAGAAGCTAAAACATGGTAGATTTGAAATAAAAATTAACTACCACTATTAGTAGCAACTTTAATTTAAATATGAAATGATTAATACATTTTATAGGTGTTTGTGCACTCATTATGCAATGAGTGATACTTCTCCTTGCATTGTCCGAGGTTCCAGTCACCAGCATGCTCATAATAAACTATCTTACCTTCTAACCTTAAAGCTGCCATTCTCTGGAATTCAGGCTCCTGAAGCCACCGCCACATCCTCTTGAAGGTCTCTCTTCCCGATTTTAGCTTGCTCCAGGGCTTAGGGTTTCTTAGAAGGTCAGAAAGAGTCCCTTGTGACCTACACAGAACCCTCTCTGCAAAAATAGCTTGTGGGATGCTGTATCTCTTCAGTTCTGCAATAATTCTTTGGGCAACATCTTTGGTATTAATCTCTTCCAGCTGGCTTGAGAGGGTAGTGCTTTGCGTTGGCATGGGGGGGTTTTGTCTACAGTTAATCTCTGCCCTGTGGTGAACATAGTGATGTTGGTGCATGTTGCTGGGTGACCCTACTCCCGAGGAAGGAGGAGGGGACAATTCTCTTGAAAAGTGCTGGTCTATCCTGCTAAACATACCATGGTGGGCATCAAAACCATTGCCTGATACCATCTTCTCATTGGACAAGTGTCCTGAAGGATGACCATAACCGTGCATGGTGGTCAGGTTAGGGCTTGGCAAAGACGAAAGGCTTTGCCCCATGCTTATATCTTTAGGGTAGTGACTATAAAAGTTACTAGGAGGCCCAAGTCCCCTGTCCTCTCTCATTAAAGTAAAACTTCCAATGACATTTCCAACTGGGACACATTGATGATGCTGGTGGTGATGGAACTTTTCGTGAAGAGGCTGCAATGGGGTTAAGGTTGTGTAACTGTTTGCTGATGCTGGAGGAGAATCACCCCCAAATCCCAACCCTGGGTGCAACGATGTAGCCAGATGGTGATCTGAGCGGTGGTAGTCGCTTCCATCCAACACAGAGGTCATACTGGACACCAACGAGGATCTTGGTACAGGTGGATGCAAAGTCCTACCTTGATTGTGCATCAGCTCTTGGCCTGAGCTAGAGATGTCTTCACCGGTCTCCAAACCCAACTGGACGTTCATGTCTTCAGGCTACAACATCCTCCTCTTTATCTAGTTGTGTCCCATTAATCTTTACTCTAAATTGACTGGAGAGAATCACAGCTTTAGACCTAAGTCGGCCACTCTGTCTTATTTTCTTTTCTCTTACAAACACATCTACATTCTGATCAGGTTAGACATTTATTGGTATCAAAATTCCGATAGCCAACCAGAAAAATTTTTATAGGCGCAGCAAAAGAAAAAAAAAAAAATCAACCCCGTGACATGCAATCACTACAAAATACTAATGCACCAGTTATTAACCCCTACATTCCCACAATTTAGCAATACACGAGCACACAGAAAAACATAGAAGCACTTACGGTTGATACCGATCCTTACCTATTGAAATGCGGTTTAAATCAGATACACATCAGCCTGTTGTGGTCTACAGATCTTCATCAGGTTCCTCTTTTTATGGATAAATGAGCTCTTCAGTTTGTTAAGGGATAATTACCAGAGATACAGGCTTGTCTTGGTTCTCTCGTTGCACAGAGAGAGTTTGAAGATCCTAGCTGTGCAGACAGGCAGAGAGAGAGCTTTCTCTTCTAGCCTAGGTCCTATTGTGATATTGTCTCCCTCACAGAGATCAGTGCCCCTGCTTGCTTCTGCTTCCAGCCCACAGCTAAGTCTCATCGATTTTAGTCCCAAACACTCCAGTTTCCTGCTACCACACGTCACTAGCCTAAAATCTGACAGATGTGCAATCAAACACCGGCCAAGAGTAACTCTTTAAGCGCTGGACCCCTCCTCCTGCCTCTTGACAATTAAGACGACAGCCCACCCAAAGAAATCTGAAGCCTTCAGCCTTTAGGTGGAGAGAAACTAATGCATAACAATAGAGATTTATATAAACGTACAAAGACTTTTGTCTTGTATAGGGACAACACAGCTAGGTCACAATAGGCACATCTCAAAATTAGGTGCCCAATAAAATAATAAATAAATAACAATTGTAAAAAAAACAATTGTAAAAAATATTATATATATATAATATATATATATATATATATATATATACATATTATCAATATATAACTATGCTAACATACACTTTAATGTTTTTGTATGTTTTATACGTTTTCATTATTGCGCATCAACTGTATCCCTGTGCCCATGTGTGCATATGTGTGTGTGTAAATATATAGTATATTTACTGTATGTACTCCCATACAAATATAATTACATATACATATATATTGTATAGGATATATATATATATATATATATATATATATATATATATATATATATATATATAGAATATAGACATAATATATATGTATTTAATTCCTGCTATGTATTTTGTTCCTGTGGCAAATTTAAACCCGGTGGACCTTATTTTATGACTTTGTTCGCACAGTCCATTATTCGAGACATTGTATTTTTTTAAAATAAAAACAATACCTACAAAATATTACCCGACACAAAACATATAGGTGATCAATCATATTTTTTTCAGAATTCCAGACACGTAAATCTACAACATGAAGGCATACAGTATTTAAATCACTATTCTTACTGCCCATATCTATATAGCACCAACATATTCTGTATCGTGTTATGAACTATCATCCCAGCATTTGCATTTGTCTTCACTGCAATGAACTTTATGTGTTCCCACCTTTACGTGTTACAATTAAGATGGAAATGAATCAATTGACTGATATTTCCTGGATAATAGGAGGAATGGGAACACACAAAGGCAGTCCACATGAATATTGGGATTACGTGCTAACTCCATGTAGGTAGTATTGCCGCACCCCAAGACCCCAGCACTATATGGCAACTATAGAAGCCTAAGGGGTTGATTTCCTAAAACTGGAGAGTGCAAAATGTGGTGCAGCTGTGTATGGTAGCCAATCAGCTTCTAACTTCATCGTGTTCAATTAGGCTTTGACAATAACACCTGGAAGTTGATTGGTTTCTATGCAGAGCTCCACCAGATTTCACACTCTACAGTGTTAGTAAATAAGCCTCATATAGTTCTTAGTCAATAAAATATTGGGGCAACATTGATATTGCTTTGCCATAACTTAAATGGCTGTTAGGAGCAACAAACATTGACAATAGAATTAATTATCACTCTAATTAGGTGAGGTTCAGGTTAGTCTGTTGCACATCTCCTACTATTAAAGTGTTTCTTTTTTTTAATTAATTATTGTTATTAATTAATAATAATTAGTATTAATTATTATTATTAAAATATTTTTTAAATAGAAAATTAACAACAATATAACTTTTCCTTTTTATATAGTGTGCATGTGCAATGCAAAGGTACAGAAATGAAATGTTAGCAGCATTTGTTAATATAATAAATACATTTATTAAATAGTTTAACACACTGGTATACAGATGCTCTATAAATCATAGATTGGATTCAATAGTACAACATGCTGGCTGCTTTAGATGGAGTGAGTGTTAGCTTTTAAATAGAATGCATGAATGATTAGCTGAATGGTACACTGGTTCCGTAGACAGGGCCATGGGTATGGTCCACTTGACTGCATCTCCTATGAGCTCTTTGGTGACTTCATTGTAAAGGACATCAGAGAAGGAGGTCTGCTAATGCCTGAAGGCCAACTCCACTGAAAACTGCCTTTTTTTAGTTTTGTATGATTTCTTACATAATAAATTATAATTTCATAGACGCCACTTAAAACGTAACTCCAACATAATTTGTAAAAACACGCAAATGCCAAACTTTGGTGTCAGGTCCCTCAAGGTATTTTTACCTTGTCTCCATAGCTTCACAACATATTATGCAATCTTTTGTGAAGCCTATAGAACTCTTTACATCACTCCTGCCTAGAAGGAGCTTAGAAGTGTAATGGTCCTATCAGGGTTCTACAAGCACATGCACTAGGGTCATGTTTGTAGGCCGTAGGAGGCAAAAAAAAAAACCAAATTGTAATGGCTAGATGACTGGGTTAGAGCATCTCCAAAACGGCAGCTCTTGTAGGATGTTCCTGGTCTGCAGTGGTCAGGAACTACCAAAAGTGGTACCAGGGATGGGCGAGGGTCTTAGGGCCTCTTCATACCTTGTTTCATTTAATTATCCCCAAGGAGGCCAAATATTCCCTGCTTCATTGTCCAATCGCAGGCCTACATGGTCATCAACAACAGCTGGCCATGTTTCTCTTTTTGTCCAAATAAACAATAGCTAAGGCGTAGAAGAAACCCTTGGTCTCCATACAGGAAGACCGTAATGCTGCTTAACTAAAAAATGCTACTACACAAATAAATGCCCGCATCCTTAAAGATTCCCAACCCAGATTCCTCAAAACATGGGACCAATGGCTCAACTATGCCCTACCATCCTTAGACCTGACAAGCCTAACATTCCTTTAGTCTCCTATCTGGACTGAACCCGAGCTCGTGGAGGTCCTTTCCCCCAACCTCCCCTTCCCATCCCCTTTCTTTCTTTCCTAATCCTCCCCATCTGTTAGTGTTGAGTTTCTTTACTCTTTTGAAATATATTACTCATCCGGTTTCAACACCATCCAATACCTGCTATCTATGGTTAGCCATTTTTAGATTTTGAACCAATCTGTTACATTGGACACACTGGAATTCAGTCTTCTGATGTCTAAGCCCCTGTGTGGGCGTAACAGCTGTTATCACCTTTTTGTTTATATATATATTTTATATATATATATATATATATATATATATATATATTCTAAAATACCCAAATAATTAAGAAGTCCAGATGCTAACAAATGGAAACCACCCTAAGGCCATTCAGAGGGGGTGAATCACAACCTATTATGGGAAGATCTGACCCCAGAAATGTAAAAATATATGCAATCAGCTGCCAGGTGATTTAATAAACGGATGTTCACCTAAAACTGTTAGGCGCATGGAGCCTTTCACTGTCCTAATCTTTAGCACTCCAGATACAGGATATTTTGGGAACATCAGTCCACTCCTGCAATCATGACACATGTCCCTTATTTAAAGGACAGTTCCAGATTAAACACTAGATGCCCCTAGGCAGTCAATACTTTGGGGCCCCCCTTGCAGGTTTCTGGAGGTTTCTCATGTGCTTTAGTGGAATAATATTGAACTAAGTAGTGTGCATGTTGGCTACTAGATGAAGATGACCATCACTACTGTACATTACACAGACGTAGGTTGCACCAAAATGTTTTTCAAACTAACAGCTGAAAGAAGATGAACTGTTAGGATATAAACTGTAATGTAAACCTGATGTCTACGGTTTATGTATTTTAACCACTTGAGCTTCGGAAGATTTTACCCCCTTCATGACCAGGCCATTTTTTGCTATACTTGCGCTAATTTAACTGGTAATTGTTGTGCGGTCATGCAACGCTCTACCCAAACAAAATTTGTATCATTTTTTTCACTTAAATAGAGCTTTCTTTTGGTGGTATTTGATCACCACTGGGTTTTTTATTTTTTTTTTATATAAACGGAAAAAGATCATTTATAAAAATATTTTTTACTTTCCGCTTTAAAACATATCC